GAGGAGGAGGAGGAGGAAGCGGTGGCGACGGTGGTTAGGGGTGGAATCTGCTCTGCAGCCACCAGTGTAAAGGTACTTGACCTTTGTTCTCAACTGTGTTATGGAAACCATCTCATTTATCGAATACATTTTTATTTATTTATTTATTTATTTTTGTTGGTCATGGGGCTTGAACTCTGGGCTTGGGTGCTGTCCCTGCACTCTTCAGCTCAAGGTGAGCACTCTACCATTTGAGCTATAGTGCCACTTCAGGTTTTCTAGTGGTTTATTGGAGATAAAGAGTCTCACAGACTTTCCTGCCCGGGCTGGCTTTGAACCGCGATCCTCAGATCTCAGCCTCCTGAGTAGCTAGGACTACAGGCATGAGTCACAGGCGTGCGGCTTATCTAATAGGTTTTAAACCCCACAATGTACAAAAACAAAGCCTGGGCTTAAGGCCCTTGCCCCTCCGGGCTCACAGCGGACGTCTGTTCTGGTTGGACCCTGCTCTTCTGAGGATGGCTAGGTTCGGGTGTGACTGGTACTTCTGATCCACGTGAACACGGGAAAGCGTTGAGGTGTGGTTTAAGTAGGAGCACTCACTGGAAATAACTGAGCAAGATGAGAGGTAAAGTACAGAGCACCTTGGCAGGGGTTTGCTTTTCATTGTTACCCTATGCATAGTCCAAATCAGATGGCTGAGCCCCAGCAGGCTCTCCCCAGGCAAGACCTGGGCTCCTGTGGCTACTGAAGGGGAGCCGGGCAGGGTCTGGGGGCTTCCAGCACCTGCCCTGCACCCAGACCGCGGGGTCTTCCCTGTGGTTGCAGGGTCTTTTGGATGGTTGAGAGAGATAGTTCCTGTATTTCATGGCCTTTTTATTGTTTTCCCCCAACACATCGGGAACGTTCTGCTCTGCCTTTCTGCCTTTTGGATCTGACTTAGCTGAAATCACAATGGTGAGCTCCGTTTCTCCAGCTCTTTAGCACCAGTCCCCCCCTCCGTCTGACTGTTGATGGTCAGCCCCCATCACCCCACGTTGCCACCCAGGAGAGCATATACTTGCTTAGACACCCAACACACGCATGTCAAAGAGCCCCACACGGTCCTCGCTCCTGCGGCTGCTCTGGGCCCTTCCCACACGCATGCTGACGGGCTCTGCGGCCCGCTGGGCGGCACCGTGGCGTCCTGGCTGCCGTGGGGCCTGCGCTGCTCTCACAGGTTGGACTCTGCGCAGGTCTTGCAGCACTGCTTGCTGTAGAACCCATGGCTGCACACCCCGTGCTGGGGCGCCAGGGAGCACCAGTGGAAGTAGTCTCTGCAGAACGTGTCTGAAAGCAAGCGCAACCTGGTCAGGGTCAGGGAGAGCTGCAGGGAAGGCCCAGCTGCACAGCCCCAGCCGCAGACACCCCCACCGCGTATCTGCGTGCCTTAGGGAGGTTGCTCTCACTCAAGCCACCGAGGAAGGGAAGGGCATCTCTGTAAGTCTAACAGGTACGCACAGAAGTCGCCTGCTGACAACTTCACTTCTGTGGACATTTCACTTCTTTTTGTGCTAAGTGCACTGGAGCGCCTCTACCTTGGAAAGAGCCCTCTCTCTGCCTCTCTCTGCTCTTCTACCTGCACTAAATGTTGAATGCTCAGTTCATTAGCTACAGCAAGCAGCTCCTTGCTGTTTGCAGATGCATTTACTGTAGGAGAAGCCACCAGGGAGGTGGCCACCTCTGTACCCTCTGACACACTTAGCGCGCGTGCGCACGCACACAAACACACACACACACACACACACACACACAGTGTTTAGGGATTACCTAATGAATTAGGGGGGCTTTGCATCCTGTAGGGGAAATACTGCTATTATTAAAATTGTGTTCCCTAAATATCAAAATAGCATTATCAAAAAGATCAACATAATAATGTCCTCCCCCTCCCAGTACCGAGGTTCAGATTCCTGGACTCATGCCCGCCTGCTGGCCAGGCAGACGCTCTGCTCCGAGTCCCTCTTCCTCGTATTTGTTCTTTCCTGGTAGGGCTTGTCTAGAGATTTCGCCTGAGGCCCGCCTCAGACCTGGCCCTCCTAGCCATCTCTCCCACACAGTGTGGATCAAAGGCCCAGCATTCTTTATTTTGATTTGTGTCCCCAGTGCCTCTGCTTTTCCTGGGGTGGCCCGAAGATGAGTAGCCTCTGTCTGTGACCATTTGGTTGTAAAACTGGAGGAGAAGGTAAGAGAGAGAGAGAAGGATAGAGCAGACACAAGGCCTCCACACTGGACTCTTTGGGCACACCTGCTTCCTCAGACCTTCTAAGGAACGGTTCCACAAACCTGACGGCCCAGCCTCAGAGGCCAGGGCCGGCGAGGGGCTGGGGTGCGTACCTTGCTGCTCCACCACGGGGCAGAAGTGGGTGTTACAGGCCAGCGAGGCCTCAGGCCTGTGTTCCTGGGAGCAGCTGGAGGCTGGCCGGCCCCCTGACAGACAGTGCACGGTCCTTCTCTTCACACCACCTCCACAGCTGGCTGTGCACTGCAGGAGGAAAACCACAGGTCTCCAGGTCAGGATCTCAGCAAGAGCCTCGCCGTCTGCGCGCCAGCCCGTCACCACAGAGCTGCAGACCAAGACATCCCCCTCCACACCGCCCACCCGCACCACAGCCTACTCCCCTCTCCCCAGAAATCTTCTCTTCTCTTCTGTCCTCTCTTAGTTCCTAGACTTCATATGAGAATGTGGGATACTTGTTTTCTGAGTTTCACATATCTAACACAATAATTTCTAGTTTCAGCTTGCAAACAATGTGATTTCATTCTTAATGGCCGAATAGTACTCCACCAGGTATATATGCTGAATTTTCTTCATCTTTCCGTCTACTGATGGGTTTCTACCCTGACTCCCTAATTTGGCTATTCTGCGTATGCTACAGTGACCATGGCTTCCTCTTTGTAAGTTGCTGGTTGGTCTTTGTGGAGCACAGTGGTTGCTAGTCTAGGTGGAGCACAGTGGTTGCTAGTCTAGGTGGAGCACAGTGGTTGCTAGTCTAGGTGG